TTTAGGGTTTCGGGTGTCGGGTTTCGAGTGGAGCTGCTCTCACTCCCCTGGAGAGTCGAACTGCAATGTACCTGGCATGCAAACGAGCTATAACAATCATGACTTGCAATGGCCGGGTTGGGCAATAACATGAATCCCATGGTCTTCCAAATCCCTTAGTAAGCAATGTATATATATATATACCATATTAGGGCTAGGAGTATATATACTTTAAAAGGGTGTTTATATAAGGGCTTTTTGGAAAGCATGGGACCATGTGCAGTCAATTTTGCATCCTGCAACGGATATCGCTCTTTAAAAAAGCTAGTAGCATCATGGCCCTTGCAAAAGATCATCAACAACCCTGGATTGGCGATCGGCTCCATGCATGCAATGACAGCAATAACTAGCTATAGCTATTGCCATAAACTCATTGCAAGCAATCGGCACCATCCATATGCACCTAGGTGAGGGCCTTCATTGAGACCTTCATGGTTTTAACACCTTCTTGATGGATGAGCATCATGTTGCCGAAATTCGTGAACTCCTCCAAGGCCTTCTTGCAACCAGACTCGTCGGACGGCTCCAACTTGTTCGCCTGAGCATAGGCCTTTCTAATGGAGATCAGGAAGTCATGCAAGACCTGCATTTTCGTATTGAAATCGGAGACGATGTCTTTAAGCGATTTCTTGTTCACAGCAGCATGCTCCAAGTCTGCTAGGCAGTCCTTCAGAGCTGCCTCCTCCCTGTCCATCTTTTGCTTGATACGGCTTTGATTTTCGCTTGCAGCTCCACGTGGGCTGGGTTCTCGATCTTCACTTGGCCGGCCTGGCCGTCTGCGAGCATCTTGTTGGCGTGCTCCATTTTGAACCCCTGAGCATTGATGCTGAGTCAGCTGCTCTTGCTATCCACTTCCTTCGCGAGGATATTCTGCTCAAACTCATAATAGAACTTGGACATAGCCGGGACCTTGTCATGCTTCTTGACCAGACTCGGATCCTTGGATGGATCCGATCCAATCCGTGCATAGAAAGCCTGGAGTAGCTCCTGCAAGCAAGTCTCCTTTGTTGCTTCGTTCATCCCCTCCGTGTCGATACCCTCGGCCTCGAAGATTTGCTTCCTGCTCATGTACCCTTTCGACTTGCTTTTCTCCTCTATGTTGTCGTGGTTGCTGGTCTCAGTATACTGAGCAGCCAAGCTCAAATCTTTGGGCCCGTGCTCGGCATACGTCTTTGCCATGTTTCTTTTGCCACCATTGTCCATTGCGGCGTACTTGTCGAGCAACTGTTGTGCTGTGCTGGCTTGCTCCTTGTTCTGACCACCCAGCTTGTACTTCATGGATGTCACAAAGGCAGACATCTGCTGCCGAGAGCCGGCATCTGCTGATTGAGCTTTCCCTGCACTGCCCTTGGGTGCTGCACTGCCCTTGGGTGCTGCCTTGGTCTTGGCAATGCTCTTGGCCGCGGTTTGTTTGGGTGTCGCCTTGGGGGCTCCCTGCTTGCCCATGTCGGGATGGATGCGCGGGATCGATCGAGGGAAGGCAAACTGTATAGGGCCGCAATGCTTCAGGTGGTTACCTCCTTGGGGGAGGCAACAAGGAATGATAGCTGCAGCTCTGCACTCCCGGACAGCAAGCAGCCGCACTTGCACGTGGCCAAGCATCCCCCACGGGAGGCGGGGAACTCTACTGCAAACATCGGCCGGCCTGGGCAATGGAGGTGGCGATGAAGGGCCTGAGTGCGGCAACAAATCCGAGCAGAGTGGCTCAAGGGACCGAGGCTGTTAAAGAAAACTGTTTTTTAACAAAACTTTAACAGCTCCTTTGTTTTAATTTAGATTAAAAGAGCTGTTAAAGATTTGTTAAAAAAATGTTTTCTTTAACACCCTGTAGGGGAGGCTCCTGTTCGCACTAGAGGACTGTCCTCAGAGGAGAGATTTGATTGCGGGGACTCTGGTGTCTCCAGAGTGCAAAAGACAATCACAAAGCAACTCTGCTATGGGGGTGTTCGGGTGTTAGGGCCGGGATTCAGGGCTTGTGGCTTTGCTTGTTGTAAATCCACTGACACCTGGGAACCTGGAATACCAAGCACTTTTAGCAGGAGTTTTGGCGATCTTTGTTATGAACGGGTTCGGGCTTGGGGCTTGGGTCTGATGCTATAGCTGGTTCTATGAACACATACCAGAATTTATAAGCTTAGACCCCTAACCCAAATATAATATACTATGTATAATACATTGACATTATACATTATACATTACATTCCATTCCATTCCAT